TTTTTTAAAAAAAAAAAAAAAAAAAAGCATAAATCCAGAGTGGGCTAGATCATGCAGGTCAAACAATAAATTAGTATGCTAACGGCCATCTCCAGGCAAACCAAAAAACTACCCTTGCAGTTGGTTCCCCCTGCACTCCAAGGGTTAAGTGCTTGTTTATGTCTGGGGTGCGTCCCTAATCTAGAGGCAGAAAACACAGCATGTTAATTAGTGTTACGCTTGGCCTCGGAGATCTTTCTGTTTTTAAAATTTGACCAAATGCGTTACTGAGGAAGAAGAGAAGAAACTTTGAGGTCTATGAGACCCACAGCGCCTGCCTCTCTAGTGATCTGAAATATAGAAGTAGCTTTACTAATCAAGTGAGAGAAGAAACTTTGAGGTCTATGAGACCCACAGTGCCTGCCTCTCTAGTGATCCGAAATATAGAAGTAGCTTTACTAATCAAGTGAGAGAAGAAACTTTGAGGTCTATGAGACCCACAGCGCCTGCCTCTCTAGCGATCGGAAATATAAAAGGAGCTTTACTAATCAAGTGAGAGAAGAAACATTTTGAGTTTTGAGGACTGGATGATTGGACCGATGAAGGCCTGTCTAATCCCCACTACTAATTATATATCTGACACTGTCCTCGTATTGGGCTTTGAAATTCCAACCAATTTATAGCTCACCCTACAAGTGTCACCCTACTATGCTAGCAGAGGTGTGCACTATTACAACAACAAACTGGCAACAATCAGAACCCGGTCAGATTGCACTGGCAAGTAGGACAACAGTCAGGAACCTTTTATCGAGGAGGGTGATGTGTAGCTGACAGTCAACATAATGATGTGAGTGGCTGTGTGCCACCACGGCCTATGTCGGCTGCTCAGAAATCCGGCCCTGATGACTACAGTAATGATATACAACTGTAAGCTCCTTTGAGTCACCTACTGATGGGAATGCTTCCATGTTTTCTGCAAAACTCTGCAATATATGCTGACACTGCTGTATATAAATAAATTATGAAGCAACACAAAAGGGGGGCGTTAGGGAAACGAAAAAACTGCTTTATTTTCTACTAAACATAACATGATCCTGAGATTGGGAAATAAGGAGAAAAATGGAGCTTATTGGGTGGGTTCTCTGAACTCACAGGCCGGTAGAACTCCCAACTGTCCCATATTTGGGGAGACTGTCCCTCTCCAGTAAAAAGGACCCTATGTGTTCTCATCAGTTATACCTGGTATATAGAGCGCTATAAAAAATTGCACTATTTAACTACCAAAACTGTTACTCAGCCCTAAACCTTTTATTCAACCTCTACATTATATTTGTAAAGTAGCGGTGAAGCATTTAAGGATATATCCAATCTTCAATGGCATAATAATCCTTCATAGGGAGAGTAACTGGAGACGTGATGGGAACATGTCCATTGCTGACATCAGGGGTAGGCAAACTCTGGTTCTCCAGCTGTGGTACAACTACAAATCCCATGAGGCATTGCAAGACTCTGACAGCCACAGGAATCACTCCCAGAGATAGATGCATGATGGGATTTGTGGTTTCACCACTGCAGTAGAGCCGGAGTTTGCCTACCCCTTGGCCTACATGGTTAATAATCCAAGATGTCTCAGAATGTTAGAAAGGTGAGTGCCCAGGTACATCTTCTGTAGTTTGGCTCCATTCACTGTATTCCTAAATGAATGCCAAATGTGACTTCACATAATTGTGTGTACTCATTAGATGAGCGCTTATCTGCTGTACAAATAATAATACCTGTACTGTACCTTCTAATACTAATGCTAGCTAACCAGTGATTACTTTCAAAGAAATCTTCTAGAAAGACAATGTTGCAATGGCCATGTAAGAATATATGTTCCTGTTTGTCATAATTGGGGGGGATAAAGAGATATTGTATGAACCAATTATTGTGTATTGGCATGCTGAAGAACTTGACACATGCAAGTAACTGCTTAACAGGACAACCAACTTAGTGGCGCATACGTAAAGCCTCACAACTGATGTTTGTTGAGTGATCTATTGGAAGTTACCTTATTTACTGGTGTAACCTCTGGTGTAAACCCCAGGCTGCTGACACAGTTTCACCTTTGCTTGCTTCTATTCTCCTGGCTGCTGAATTGGCACTATACATGAGTTGTGTAGAGGTATTGACCTTGGCTCATCTGCTGGTCCTGCTTCTTATCTGCTGCTCTGATGCTTCATCTCAGCTGACTCTGGACCAGCACATAACCTGCCTTGCTGCCCTGGTCCTGCAGGTCCACCCAGTCGTTGTAGACCACTTGTTCTTATCCACTACTATACAAGATAGTTTTAATAGGTTTAGGTGGGCATTTCTACTTCTTATAGTAAATTTACGATTTAGCATTCAATACATCATCTAGAAAATACATTTCAGTGGTTTTTAGTTATATGAAATCACAATAGGTGGTTTGGAAAAATATGTTTAAAGAGGCAGAGCCAGGGGGTGGGCACAGCTGGCTCTGCCTCTAGATAGGCAAACATACTTCCTGATGGTACATTTATCAGGAATTTCGGGTGATAAATGTACCAATATAAAGGAATACTTGAGACTACAAGACCCACACAAAGGGTAATGGTAAACACTGCTTTTATAAATACGTCTGTACTAACAAAGTTGGATACACCAGGTTGCCCAGTTTCCCTTGGAAATACACAGGCACATCTGCCACCCCACTGTCCCCTGGCCATAGACATTTATAGACATTAGTGAAGTTGACCATTTACAAAGTCTTCTGCACCAGTCTCTCTCCTAAATGGGCATGCTGTAATCACACAAGCTCTTCTTTTTAAAAGGAAAGCTGGGAAACCATGGCCCACAATAGGTCTTTGGCAAGATTTTCTCAGTTGCCCATTTGCTTTGTTCCCACGCAATGCTCATTTGGGTCTATTGAGCGTTGCCTCACTGATACAGGATCGTCATATGATCCAGCCATAACAGGACAAATCGGGAGACTGTCATCAAACATCTATGTGCACCTTAAGACAGGAGTGGACAAATGAATATATTTTTACAATTCAAAAGCCAGCAGGATTTTTTAGGAGGCAGCTCTATTGAGGAGCATTGGCTACCTGGCTTCTGGTATTTGCCCAGCCCTGCCTTAAAGGAGAACTATGAGGTGAGTGATTTCCACTCATCCTCATAGTTAGAGCCGACGTGTGACAATGAAACGGTCATATGTCGGCTCTATAGATCGGGAAGTGAGCAAACACATACCATCGCTTGCTCACTTCCCAATCATCTCCCTGCAGAGAGTGGTGACTGTCAGTCACCGCTCCCCACAGGGATTCCTCCCTCTGATCCCCCAGCGCTGATTGGAGGAACTGATGGGGGAGGGGGCAGGCACAGCTGGCTCTGCCTCTAGATAGGCAGAGCCTGCTGTCAATACGCCAGCTGGGTGGATCTCGACAGTAATGTCGGGATCTGTCCCGGCTGCATCGCTCTCAGCATATAGCGGCCAATAGCCCGCTATATACTGAGCTTTGGGTCGTGACCCTAAAGAGAACTATGGGATAAAAAGGTTACCCAATAGTTCTCTTTGAAGACACTCTGGCGTTAAGTTACTAAAGGCAAATAGGCTGTAGACTTCTCAAGGGAATTTGCACCTTGTTGGGGAAGTTTCCCCTTAGGTGACAGTCTGTTGACTTCCATCATCCAATCATGTGCAAGCAAAAATACTTTTCTTAGAATTTTTTCTACTTTCCTTGCATATGATTTGGTATTCTTTGCAAAGTGAAACTTCACCACATTCATTAAGCCAGGGGTAGGCAAGCTCGGCACTCAGGTTGTGGTGAACTGCAAGTACCATGAGGCATTGCAATATTCTGACAGCTGCAGGCATGACTCCCATAGGCAGATGCATGATGGGATTCACCACTGGAGTGCCAAGAATGCCAATCCCTGCTGTAGTATTGCATTTATGTTATAGAGGTCTATACATCAGACCAAAAAAGGGACAACTAGGAAGGAAAATAGACAGGGAGACTGGGTTCCAAAGGAGTGAAAGTTGAGAGCTTTGGGAATAGAGAGAGACTCCCAGAAGCAGAGGCATAATGGGCTTTGTAGTTTCACCAGAGCCGGAGTGCTGAGGTTGCCTACTCCTGCCCTAAGCTAAAGAAAACTTGCTCTACAAATGCCCTTGCGAAGTGAAAAGCGTATTTGCTTTTAGTAAATCAACCCATCTGTCTCCCAGTCCACAGGACATGTAAGAGAGGTTGTCTTCCATGCTTCACTCTTTGACCAAGGTACGTAGCAGTCTGGTCTGCCTTCTTCAGTCAGAGATGCTTACATCCATTACAAGAGTACATAACAAAAAGCTTCTCACCCAATCACTTTTTCTGGACTTTTTCAGACTTTGGTCTGCTTGTGTACAGTCATAGTCTACTATAATATGAAATCATATTCAGAGTCACATTAACCAAAACAATCAACGCATATTAGTCTAGCATTATACATTTTAATCCCGGTTATACCGTAACTATTCCAAGATCTCACTGTTCACATATTATTAACATATTTCTATATTCTATATAAGTGAAACTTCATAAAATAATTCCTTGGTTACAATATTGGTGAACCCGAGATACTATAGTATCCCCACGGATATCTCTATACTCAATTCATACCATTATTAAACACTCCTTATAGAAAAAGCAAAGACTTGAAATTGGCAACATGCTGTGAATAGATACAACCGGACGCAATAATCTATAAATATGATTTCATCGGGGACAGCTGACAGCTCAGATACCTGTGTGCTACATACCCAGATATCTGCCCCTGTCACTTATATTTGTATATCTTCCCAGAAAGCATTTTTAGGTCAAACTGTTTGCCAAGCCTTCCCGCTTGGCCACCTCTGCCGTCCTGCTGACCTGTGACAGATATATCGAAAGGCCACCGGTTATGAAGCCCACACAAGACTCACCCATTTTTTTGAAGGTTCTCAGCTCATGGCTCTTGGTGCATTGGACCTGCTCAACCACCACTTCAGGATCAGCCTGGTACTTCTTCTTCCTCCCCGCACATAATGTTCTCCAGAAGCCAGGCATTTCATGCCTTTCGCTGTGCCCTCCTGGTTGTCCACCTCCTGCCCCTCTGTGCCACCGAAAATTCCCTCCGACTTCCTTCCACTTGGGTCCCTAGTACTCTGCTTTGCCTCCTGTGACACTCGGCTCTCGCAATAACTTGAGACTGTACATGTCCCAGCGTCTACCTCTTGGTTTCTCCCAGCCTGTCTCTGGAGCCTTTGTGTGTGAGCAGCCTCAGCCCAGCCTCCTTCCCTTGCTCCTCCTCAGCACTGATTTTCCAGTCTTTGGCTGTCTTGCTCCCCTGGAGTCGCATTTCACCATCACAGTCAGTGTCTATCTTATTCAGCAGCCACACAGCCAGGCTAGAGCAGGGATCTCAGCAGGCTGGGGACTTGGATCCATGCTGACGATTTATCTAGAATGTCTCAGGACCCACCACAACCGCGACATTTACATTTCTACAAGTGTGGATAAGATTATGTGACCAGATTACAGTGGAATGATAACGTAAACTCTAACTGAATGACATCCAGTTTGCTAAAGCACCGTGTGTTACAATAAAATACTTATTTTCACCCTTCTTTCATCCTTTGCTTTCATCCTGCATCTCATTGCTGCTGATCTGCAGCAGCCTTTTCGAAGCCCCTTCCGGTCTACATGCATAGCTCCCAAGTGTCCTTCATTTGCAGGGACTGTCCCTATTTTGGAAGCAAAGCCCTCTTTTCTCATCAGGGCTGGTGCAGACCTGGGTGATTCCAAAACACGTGTCCCGGGACCGCGTGATCGTGGGCACTTGCACACAGCGGTTGCCGCGTGGCCCCATTGATTTATGTCAGTGCGGCAATCACTGAAAAAAGGTACATGTTCCTTTTTTAGCAACGCTCTGCTTTTTTAGCTGCAATCGTGTTCGAATGTGCATTATGTTCCTCTCTTTGATTATATATACTGTATACCCAATCTCTAAATTGTTGCACTTGTTTCTTTTTATTGTTTTGAACTAAATTGTTGCACTTTTTTATTTATTTGTTTATCTTAATTGTAACACTTTATTATAATGTTTTCTATCTAGATTGTTACACTTGTTATTTTTTATTTATTCTTTTATCTAAAGTGTTGCACTTTTTTAATCTATTTTTTTATCTAAATTGTTGCACTTGCTTTTTGTATCTTTTTAAATCTAAATTGTTACATTTGTTTTATATATATATATAGTGTATGTGTATATATACATATGTACATATATATATATATACATACACACACACACACACACACACAGGTATTCCCCACATAACGACCGAGTTCTGTTCCTACGACCAGGTCGTTAAACGAATTGGTCGTTAAGCGAGGAACTGTAAACGGTACTGTACTGTATTAGTACAGTATCTAAACATTTGTGCTTATTTTTTTATTTACATTTTGAAAAGTCAATATATAAGAGAAGTACGGTTCAAAGAAGCACTTGGTGTAAGCAGTCATTTTTTTGTGTATGAATTCCTCATGGTTTACATGACAGGGGTGTCTCGTTTGCCTATATGTTTTGTACTAAATAATGACGCTCTTTCCTCGTCTCAGAAAGTTGGAAGGAACCTGCATGCGCTTAGCACTTGCTGCATGGCATTTCCTAGGGTGGGGGGTTTCCTGATGGTGGCAACAGTTACCCATGCCTGTGTAATGTGTGTTTAAACAGCCAATTGTAGACCTCATCGGAAGCTTATGGCAGGGTGACAACACAGGAGCACAACTGGGAGACAGGATCAGCGTGTTGCCACCCTATAACAGGAAGTGTTTGTGTAAGGACCTTCAAGGCAGGATCACTGGAATCATTTTACTGAAAGCTGCAAATTTTAAAAAAATTGAAAATGGCTTTAAAAAAAAAAAAGGCAATAACAAGTCAAAGCTTATATATTTTAGTGATGGACTTTACATATACATTAAGCATTTACAACAAAGAAGTAATCATAGGTAATAGATTAGTGATCATAGGTTAGTAATAATATCCTTTTCTTGGCTTAACTTCTCTTTAGGGTTATAGAACCAACATTTACTAATGTACTCCTGTGATCCAAAGTCAGCAGACAGTGGGCTAAAGTTAAGTTTTAAATACTGCCAATAGGTGAAATCTGTTCTTTTATATTAGCTCATCACCTGCACCCCAGAACTCAAACTGAGCTGTCCGGCCAGAGGTTAGCTTTAAATCTGTATATACGCATATATTGTCTAAATATAAGAGTCATGTGTATTCTTATCTCTCCAATCAGCCGCACGAAAGGCACGAGGTTCATAAAAATCCAACTTTATTGTTGCAAATTCCATGCAAAGTTCAAAATACAAGGTATACATCACTATAGTATCTCTCCCACTCTAATGCCGCTCACGCGTTTCACCACCTGGGCTTAATCATAGAGGTCATGTGTATTCTTACTTCAATCCTGGTGAGCTTCCAGATCTGTGCAGTAATCCAGAGATACTCTCTGTCCTTGTGCAGGGTGACTGGTCTTGTATCCGCCCCCCCACCCCTGTAATAAAGACCGGTCACTGCTGCTCTCTATCCTTGTGCAGGGTGACTGGTCTTGTATCCGCTCCCCTCTTGTAATAAAGATAGGCCACTGCTACTATCTATCATTCTGCAGGGTGACTGGTCTTGTATCCGCCCCCTCCTGTAATAAAGATAGGCCACTGCTGCTCTCTATCATTCTGCAGGGTGACTGGTCTTGTATCCGCTCCCCTCTTGTAATAAAGATAGGCCACTGCTGCTCTCTATCATTCTGCAGGGTGACTGGTCTTGTATCCGCCCCCCTCCTGTAATAAAGACCAGTCACTGCTGCTCTCTCTCTCTCTCCACGTGTGGGGTTACTGGTCCTGTCTCCGCCCCTCCTGTAGTTTTCTACAGGCAGCCTGTAGGGGTGGAGCCTGCTGGACCACTCCCACAGCTTTGCACAGGCTATGTACAGCATAGTGATGATGTCACTGCTACTTTAATAAGGTAAAAACTGTATATTTAGGTGAAAGTTTTAGTGGCCAGAGTTCAGCTTTAAAGTGGCAGACATGCTTTCAGCTCTGACAGTGGAAACAGGATACAATTATTAGACACAAGGAACACTTTTTTTTTAGGTCTATTGGCTATCTGGCTATTCAAGTAATTAAATGAAACAATAAATGTACAATTATCATTAGAAAAGGAAGTGATACATACACTAGTAAATAACAAAAATTCCCGTGGATCAGGTCCGACTGCTAATTATGAGAAATTCCACAGCATACTTAAGAGGAAGTACTAAGTACATCCTATTTCACGATATTTCTCTATATTAGAGGGACATTGAAGTCACATTACCCCCCCCCCAATGCTGCTTTAAGGACTTACCTTAAATGATGCCTCTTGATCCTATTAGGGCTGCAACAACTAATCGACATAATCGATTATAATCGATTATTGAAAAAGTTGTTAACTTTTTCAATAATCGATTAATCGTCTTCCGATCAGTTGACCCTGTTCACAGCTCCACACGCTGTGCGCCGCACCTCCTCCCCACCTCACGCTCGCTGCTGCCAGACCCGCTCGCATCCACGCTCCACACGCCGCACCTCCTCCCCGCCTCCCATTTCCTGCCCATCCACATCCACGATCGGCACAGGGACGCGGGGAGATGTAGTAAGGAGGAGCAGGTGTGGGGGGATGACAGCTGCTGATAGACAGGTCCGATCTCAGAAGCACGTTGCTGGAAGACTGCACTTTCCCACACATGGTGCTCTATAATGTATTGATGGGATTTGTATTCCTCTATAGCTGATGGTACATTGAGCTGTATATTATACATAGGAATACAAATCCCAGCAATACATCGTACGCTGTATGTATAATGTATTGCTGGGATTTGTTGTACTCCTCTATAGCTGGTGATATTCTGCATTGCGCTGTATAGAGGACTACAAGTCCCAGCAATAATACATTATACAGCGCAATGCAGAATACCACCAGCTATAGAAGATTACAACAAATCCCAGCAATAATACATTATAAAGTGGTACAATGCTAAATACCACCAGCTATAGAGGACTACAAATCCCAGCAATAGTACCTTATACAGCGCAATGCAGAATGCCGCCAGCTATAATGTACTATTGCTGGGATTTGTTGTATTCCTCTATAGCTGGCGGTATTCTGCATTGTGCTGTATAATGTGCTTTTGCTGGGTTTTGTAGTCCTCTATAGCCGGTGCCATTCTGCATTCATTGCTGTATAATTTTACACTTTCCATTTCACTATATTGCACACCACACTATCTTTTTTTCTTTACTTCCACCGCTCCAAGCTTGCTCCTGTGATGGACTACAACCTCAATACAAACTAGTAGTCCTATCACTGGAGCCATTTTTTAAACTGTATTTTATAGTTTATCCGATTAACCGATTAATCGAACGTAATAATCGCCTAACTAATCGATTTTGGAAATAATCGTTAGCTGCAGCTCTAGATCCTATCATCTTCTTTCCAGTAGTTTTCAGGAGTCCCTGCAGCGCTGGTGCCGGTCTCTGATCCAGCGTGGACTGCTGTGTCTTCTGTGTCCCACGGAGTCTGTGCACGCTGTCGACTGCGTGCATAGACTAACACTGTGTCTCTCCTCTTCTCCCGGCCAAAGATCTACTGTGCATGCGCCCACCCCATCTTCCTTCATGGCCGCTCGAGGATCTTCAGATCTTCGGACGGGAGCAAGAGGCGGAGACACAGGTAAGTAATAACCCGTTTGGTAACGTTTTCATTTTTTAAAATGTTTTTGCATATATCTACTGCTTGCTAGCATTAGATATATGCAAACAAAAGAAGGTTTACTTCTACTTTAAGTTTGATTACCATAGCAATCAATTATATTTCACATCATCTAGAACAATTAGAACAATGGAAGGTGATAGATACGTTGTGGTGGGTTACTGGATTTTGGAAACTGTCCTCTGCTTTATTATAGTGTATGTATAGGCAAAACCTTTTTTAGTTACTGATTGGGTAGGAAAGAACTAGAACTCCTGTGATTTTTTTTTTTTGCTGTCTCTTTCCGCACTAGGTAGATTCACCCTCTATATTTGTACTGGTCACTATTGTCACCAACACAGATAATGGTGGGAAACCCAACATCTTTAAAGTTGTCACTAGAACAATCTTCCAATGGGGACACCTGGTCTGGTAACAACTCCCTAAGATGGGAATTCCCCTTT